GTTACCAGGACAGACAGAATTGTTACCTGCCAGAGAATTGTTACTCAGGGACAGACCAAGAATTGTTACTGATGCCAGAGAATTGTTTACTCCAGGGACAGACAGAATTGTTACTAAGTGCCACAGAATTGTTACTCAGGGACAGACAGAATTTTACTGAGTGCCAGAGAAGAATTGTTACTCAGGACAGACAGAATTGTTACTGGAGTGCCAGAGAATTGTTACTCAGGGCCACAGAATTGTTACTTAGGGCCAGAGAATTTTTACTCAGGACAGACAGAATGTTTACTGAGTGCCAGAGAATTGTTACTCAGGGACAGACAGAATTGTTACTGAGAGTGCCAGAGAATTGTTACTCAGGGGCCACAGAATTGTTACTTTACTTAGGGCCACAGAATTGTTACTCAGGGACAGACAGAAATTGTTACTGAGTGCCAGAGAATTGTTACTCCCAGGGGCCACAGAAACTTTACTCGAGTGCCACAGAATTGTTACTCAGGGCCACAGAAACTGTTACTGAGGGCCACAGAATTGTTACTCAGGACACAGAATTGTTACAGCACAGACACAGAATTGTTACTGAGGGCCACAGAATTGTTACTTAGGGCCACAGAATTGTTACAGGGCACAGACACAGAATTGTTACTCGCACAGACACAGAATTGTTACTGAGGGCCACAGAACTGTTACTTAGGGCCACAGAATTGTTACTCGCCACAGACACAGAATTGTTACTCAGGGGCAGACACAGAATTGTTAGAGAGGGCCACAGAATTTTACTTAGGGCCACAGAATTGTTACTCGCACAGACACAGAATTGTTTACTGCACAGACACAGAATTGTTACTGAGGGCCACAGAATTGTTACTTAGGGCCACAGAAACGTTAACTCAGGGACACAGAATTGTTACTGAGGGACACAGAATTGTTACTTAGGGCCACAGAATTGTTACGAGTGAGGCACAGACACAGAATTGTTACTCAGGGACACAGAACTGTTACTGAGGGCCACAGAACCTGTTACTTAGGGCCACAGAATTGTTACTCGCACAGACACAGAATTGTTACTTTAGGGACACAGAATTGTTTGTTACAGACCGAATTACACAGACACAGAATTGTTACTCAGGGCCACAGAACGAGAATTGTTACTTAGGGCCACAGAATTGTTACTCGCACAGACACACAGAATTGTTACTCAGGGAAACAGACACTGTGTTACTGAGGGCCACAGAACTGTTACTTAGGGCACAGAATTGTTTCTCGCACAGACACAGAATTGTTACTCGCACAGACACAGAATTGTTACTGAGGGCCACAGAACTGTTACTTGGGGCCACAGAACGTTAATCAGGGACACAGAATTGTTACTGAGGGCCACAGAACTGTTACTTAGGGCCACAGAATTGTTACTCGCACAGACACAGAATTGTTACTCAGGACACAGAATTGTTACTCAGGGACACATAATCGTTTAATTAAAGAGTATGTCAGACAACATGCAGAGGAGTGGCAGAGGAGGCAATGTTTTAGGAGCGAGCAGACGTGGCAGCAGAGGAAGGGGTCGAGGCAGCACTATTCGCAGCCAGAGGCCAGTGCTCCCGGTGTCATCCAGCGGTCGTGTCTCCACCGACAACCCTGCCGTCGTCGATTGGTTGGCTCGGTCGTCTTCCTCTTTTCCCAGGTCACCTCTGACACCTACAGCCAACGGTCGGTGGGTACGTCAGACACAACCGTTAGTTGGCATGGCCCGGGACCAACCACTGAAATCACGTGTCCTCTACCTGCCCCTGTCCTTTGGTGTTCCCTCACCAAGCGAAGTATCGCATGCTGTGGGCTCAGCCCCACTGTACAGTGAGGAAGAGCTAACAGAGGGCGGTCAGGAACGGGGGGAGACATCCGCCTTTTCAGCAGCCAGGCGAAGAAGTAGTGGCGAGGAGAGTGGCTCGGTAGCCGGTCTAGAGACAGGTCTGTCTCCTGACCAGACGCAGCCGAGGGGGCTAGTAGTGAGGCGCGGAGACCCTACTTGATGATGAGGAGGTTGATCGCACTTGGCAGCCTCGTCGTCATCAGGCAATTTCTTCCGCATCATCAGGAGAAGAGGGTGGCAGCTTGGCAGCGAGCAAAACATAGGTGGCTGCTGCCAGGCCCCTAATCTGCCATGGGCCCCTATATACCGCCTCCTCATGCTGCTGCCAGGTCCACAGTGTCTCATGCCATGTGCCACTTTCAGGTCTCCTCACACACTGCTGGTGTGTTGAATTTTTTGACATAGGGTGCTGGCAGATTATGGGCCTCCTATAGCTGCTGCCAGGCCCCTAATCTGCCATAGGCCCCTATATACCGCTTCCTCATGCTGCTGCCAGGTCCAGAGTCTCTCATGGGTCCCTGTACGGCCTCCCATTGCTGCTGTCTCCATCGCCACACTCTGCCATGTGCCACTTTCAGGTCTCCTCACACACTGCTGGGTGTAGAATTTTTTGACATAGGGGTGCTGGCAGATTACGGGCCTCCCATAGCTGCTGCCAGGCCCCTAATCTGCCATAGGCCCCTATATACCGCCTCCTCATGCTGCTGCCAGGTCCAGAGTCTCTCATGGGTCCCTGTACGGCCTCCCATTGCTGCTGTGTCTCCATCGCCACACTCTGCCATGTGCCACTTTCAGGTCTCCTCACACACTGCTGGTGTGTAGAATTTTTTGACATAGGGTGCTGGCAGATTACGGGCCTCCCATAGCTGCTGCCAGCCCCTAATCTGCCATGGGCCCCTATATACCGCCTCCTCATGCTGCTGCCAGGTCCAGAGTCTGTCATGGGTCCCTGTACGGCCTCCCATTGCTGCTGTCTCCATCGCCACACTCTGCCATGTGCCACTTTCAGGTCTCCTCACACACTGCTGGTGTGTGTTAGAATTTTTTGACATAGGGTGCTGGCAGATTACGGGCCTCCCATAGCTGCTGCTGCCAGGCCCCTAATCTGCCATAGGCCCCTATATACCGCCTCCTCATGCTGCTGCCAGGTCCAGAGTCTCTCATGGGTCCCTGTACGGCCTCCCATTGCTGCTGTCTCATCGCCACACTCTGCCATGTGCCACTTTCAGGTCTCCTCACACACTGCTGCTGTGTGTAGAATTTTTTGACATAGGGTGCTGGCAGATTACGGGCCTCCCATAGCTGCTGCCAGGCCCCTAATCTGCCATGGGCCCCTATATACCGCCTCCTCATGCTGCTGCCAGGTCCAGAGTCTGTCATGGGTCCCTGTACGGCCTCCCATTGCTGCTGTCTCCATCGCCACACTCTGCCATGTGCCACTTTCAGGTCTCCTCACACACTGCTGGTGTGTAGAATTTTTTGACATAGGGTGCTGGCAGATTACGGGCCTCCCATAGCTGCTGCCAGGCCCCTAATCTGCCATGGGCCCCTATATACCGCCTCCTCATGCTGCTGCCAGGTCCAGAGTCTGTCATGGGTCCCTGTACGGCCTCCCATTGCTGCTGTCTCCATCGCCACACTCTGCCATGTGCCACTTTCAGGTCCCTCACACACTGCTGGTGTGTTGAATTTTTTGACATAGGGTGCTGGCAGATTACGGGCCTCCCATAGCTGCTGCCAGGCCCCTAATCTGCCATGGGCCCCTATATACCGCCTCCTCATGCTGCTGCCAGGTCCAGAGAGTCTCTCATGGGTCCCTGTACGGCCTCCCATTGCTGCTGTCTCCATCGCCACACTCTGCCATGTGCCACTTTCAGGTCTCCTCACACACTGCTGTGTGTGTAAATTTTTTGACATAGGGTGCTGGCAGATTACGGGCCTCCCATAGCTGCTGCCAGGCCCCTAATCTGCCATAGGCCCCTATATATACCGCCTCCTCATGCTGCTGCCAGGTCCAGAGTCTGTCATGGGTCCCTGTACGGCCTCCCATTGCTGCTGTCTCCATCGCCACACTCTGCCATGTGCCACTTTCAGGTCTCCTCACACTGCTGGTGTGTAGAATTTTTTGACATAGGGTGCTGGCAGATTACGGGCCTCCCATTGCTGCTGCCAGGCCCCTAATCTGCCATGGGCCCCTATATACCGCCTCCTCATGCTGCTGCCAAGTCCAGAGTGTGTCATGGGTCCCTGTACGGCCTCCCATTGCTGCTGTCTCCATAGCCACACTCTGCCATGTGCCACTTTCAGGTCTCCTCACACTGCTGGTGTGTTGAATTTTTTGACATAGGGTGCTGGCAGATTACGGGCCTCCCATTGCTGCTGCCAGGCACGTAATCTGCCATGGGCCCCCGTATACCGACTCCTCATGCTGTGACGTTGCAACAAGGTGGAATTCAACCCTACATATGTTAGACCGCCTTTACGAACAGCGAAAGGCCATCACCGATTTCCTGATGTTAAAAGCGGATAAAGGTACTCCCTGTGTAACTTAGATGTCAGCCATTGGCAGCTCATGCGTGACACCTGCGCTTGCTCAGGCCCTTTGAGGAGGCCACGCTATTCGTGAGTCGGCAGGACTATGGGATGAACGACGTCATTCCTCTGTTGCACGTCCTGGAACAAATGCTGTTAACAATGGCTGGTCAGGGTGCGGTAGACGTGGCGCACAGATCTCTCAACGCCACATGACCCCTGTGGGGGCAGGACAGGAAGAAGAGAGGAGGAGGTAGAGGAGGACATTGGTGCTCAGGAATTATTGAGTGAAATGGGTGGTTTTTCCACTCAGCGGACAGGAGTGGAGGAGCAGGAGCATCTGGTAGAGGAGGAGGAGGAGGAGACAGAGGACCCAGAGACGCACCGTGGCAGTATGCTGTGGAGATGGAGGCAGGGAGTCCCCTCGCATTCCTGGCACAAATGGCCCATAGCATGCTCGCTTGCTTGCGTAGCGACAGCCGAATAATAACCATCAGACAGAGGAGGGATGACTTTTGGCTGTCCACCTTGTTGGACCCTCGCTACCGTTCAAAAATGGTGGCCTTTTTCACACCTGCTGAGAGGGAGGCCAAAATAACGTACTACTATAAAAAACCACCTATGTAGTCAGCTGGTCTCTGCCTGTCTGCGCCAACGTCCATCCTCAGACACTGTGGGCCCTGTGCGCTCGCGCGTTCCGCTGCCATGGCAGCAGGGGAGGGGTGGGGTGGTAGCAGTGGCAGCTCCACCAGCAGCGGCTGCCTCAGTCTGCAGTCGATGATGAGTAGCTTTCTTCACCAGCGCAGTGAGGAAACTACTAACCAGCCCAGCAGCAGCAGCAGCAGCAGCATCAGGTGGACCTGGAGCAGGACCTCAAACAACAGGCTTAGGCCTACTTGGACAGCACCCTGCCAACCGAGGTAGACAATCCCCTTGACTACTGGGCAACGAAACTTGACCTTTGGCCCCAACTAGCTGAATTTGCCCTTGAAAGGCTGTCATGCCCGGCCAGTAGCGTGGCATCGGAGCGCGTGTTTAGTGCGGCAGGAGGTATTGCAACTCCGCGGAGGACACGACGACTGTCCACCCAAAGTGTGGAGAGACTGACGTTTGTGAAAATGAATCAGGCGTGGATTAGTCTGGATTTCAAACCACCAGTTCCTGACACAACTGACTAAATCCGCCATGAATCATGCCCCAAACATGTGCCACTTTCAGGTCTCCTCACACTGCTGGTGTGTTCCATTTTTTGTCATAGGGTGCTGGCAGATTACGGGCCTCCCATAGCTGCTGCCAGGCCCCTAATCTGCCATGGGCCCCTATACCGCCTCCTCATGCTGCTGCCAAGTCCAGAGTCTCTCATGGGTCCCTGTACGGCCTCCCATTGCTGCTGTCTCCATCGCCACACTCTGCCATGTGCCACTTTCAGGTCTCCTCACACACTGCTGGTGTATTCCATTTTTTGTCATAGGGTGCTGGCAGATTACGGGCCTCCCATAGCTGCTGCCAGGCCCCTAATCTGCCATGGGCCCCTATACCGCCTCCTCATGCTGCTGCCAGGTCCAGAGTCTCTCATGGGTCCCTGTACGGCCTCCCATTGCTGCTGTCTCCATCGCCACACTCTGCCATGTGCCACTTTCAGGTCTCCTCACACTGCTGGTGGGTTCCATTTTTTGTCATAGGGTGCTGGCAGATTACGGGCCTCCCATAGCTGCTGCCAGGCCCCTAATCTGCCATGGGCCCCCGTACCGACTCCTCATGCTGCTGCCAGGCCCGTAATCTGTCATGGGCCCCTGTTGTCGCTTGTTGGCATATTCCGCTCGTTCAGATGCTCCTTCTCCTGCTACTCCTCTTCACGGATTCCGTCAGCAGTCTTTCTTGGAATCCGTTTCCAAGAGACAACAGTTTGCGAGCACGCACCAGACGGTGCAGAAACTGAACGTCCTCCTGTCCAAGTTGCTGCTGCCAGGCTCGTAATCTGTCATGCGCCCCTGTACCGCCTCCTCATGCTGCTGCCAGGTCCAGAGTGTGTCATGGGCCCCCGTACCGACTCCAAATGCTGCTGCCAGGCCCGTAATCTCTGTCATGGGGGCCCCTGTACCGCCTCCCCATGCTGCTGCCAGGTCCAGATTGTGTCATGGGTCCCTGTACGGCCTCCCATTGCTGCTGCCAGGCCTGTAATCTGCCATGGGCCCCCGTACCGACTCCTCATGCTGCTGCCAGGCCCGTAATCTGCCATGGGCCCCTGTACCGCCTCCTCATGCTGCTGCCAGGTCCAGAGTGTGTCATGGGTCCCTGTACGGCCTCCCATTGCTGCTGTCTCTATCGCCACACTCTGCCATGTGCCACTTTCAGGTCTCCTCACACTGCTGGTGGTTTCCATTTTTGTCATAGGGTGCTGTATGGCCTCCCATTGCTGCTGCCTCCACCGCCACACTGTGGCTCCACACTCTGGTTTTGGCCCCGTGACTGGCCAAATGAGTGAAGTGTGCGGTGATTCTAAGATCGACGGCACTCATCTGCATGAAGCCTAGAAACACCCTTTTTTAAGTTAAATTCACAGCGAATATATTCGACTCGAATCGAAATTTTTCTACGAATTCGCCGAATCAGTCGAATCGAATTTTTTGAATACTTCGCTCATCTCTATTTGTAACCCATAATGTAAATGGGTTAAATTGCCCAGGTAAAAGATTTAGAGTATTTAGAGAATTACAGCATAGAGCGGCCTCAGTGGTATTTTTGCAGGAAACGCACCTTGAATTAAAAAAAAAAACTTAAGCTGAACTCTAGATATCATCCGATATGGTACTATGCAGATTCCCCAGTTAAGAGAGCGAAGGGTGTGGCTATAGGATTCGCAAAAAATATTAGGTTTGAACTGGAGGATAGGAAAACGGATCCGGATGGGAGGTTTTTGTTCTTGAAAGGTAAATTGCAGGACATTGAGTGTACGCTCGCAAATATATATTGCCCTAATAGGAAGCAGGAGATGTTTTTGAAAGGGGTTATGAAGAGATTGATGGATTTTGGAAAGGGATATTTATTAGGTGGCTGGAGACTTTAACCTATGTATGGATCCACAAATAGATACAACTTCTTTAGTGCAGAGAGGGGGAAATAGGTCGATGGGATTATTGAAGAAGGTGATGAGAGAGAGCCAACTGGTGGATAGCTGGAGAATTGTGAACATGAGAGATAGAGACTATACTTTTTTCTCTAATATACATAAGACATACTCTAGATTGGACTATATATTGATAGACCATCGACTCATTGAGGATTTGGCTGGGGTAAAAATAGAAGCAATGACTTTTTTGGATCACGCCCCTGTTGTAATGAAATTAAGATGGGGAGGGAAGTCTTTGGGAGGCCTATCATGGAGGTTGAATGAGGCACTCCTCATGGACCAAGATACTGAACGGAAGATTAGGGAGGAGATAGGAAGATTTTTTGAGGAAATGAAACGGGAGATGTATCATTGGCTACAGTGTGGGAGGCGCATAAAGTATACATAAGAGGAATCCTTATTGCGATTGGGGCAAAGAAAAAAGGGAAAGGCGAGAAAAGATTAGCGGGCTTTTGAAGGAATTAGCTGAGATGGAACTCCTACATAAAAATAACATAATGAAAGAGATAGAGCAAAAAGTGATAAAAAAGAGGGAAGAATTAGAGAAAGTAATGGAGGAAGAAAAAATGAGAATCTTTAATAAAATTATGGGGGAAAGATATAAATGGGGAGATAGACCAGGAAAGTATCTAATGAGAGCCTTTAGGAAAAAAAAGAATAGGAATTATATAGACAAAATAAAAAATTCCAAGGGAGAGTTAGCCCATTCAACCAAAGATATCGCAAAGGTATTTAAGGATTACTATAGTAAATTATATAATATTGCCCCCAATCCTGTTACAAATAAGGATACAATGGTAAATATTGAAAAAAGAAGGGAATATTTAAGAAACGCAGGACTACCAAAATTAAGTGAAGAACTATTAAACTCCTTAGAATCTGAAATTACACAGGAAGAATTAAAAATAGCATTAAAAGGCTTTATGACAGGAAAAAGCCCTGGTCCAGATGGGTATACTGTGAGGTATTATAAAAAATATAGTGACTTACTGCTACCTAAGTTAAAGACATACATGGATGTGTTGGGGGGAGAGATGGAGATGAGACAGGAATCCTTACTGGCCCAGGTGGTTCTAATACATAAGGAAAGTAAAGATATCTCCCAGTGCTCAAGCTATAGACCGATATCGTTATTGAACATAGATACGAAGTTGTATGCAAAGGTTTTGGCGAATAGGTTAAAAGATCTGATGCCAGATTGGATACATGGGGATCAAGTGGGCTTTGTTAGGGGAAGAGGGGGCCGAGATAATGGGTTGAGATCCCTAATGCTTATGCAGAAAAGTAGAATGGGAAAAAATCCTGTAGTGTTGCTCTCTATAGATGCGGAGAAGGCATTTGACAGGGTTAACTGGAGTTTTATGATGGATACATTAGAGGTTCTGGGATTGGGGATTAGGATGAGGAGGTGGATTGGAAGGTTGTATGAAGGACCTTCTGTGATGGTAATGGTAAATGGAGAGAGAACAGAGACTTTTGTGATGTCAAACGGAACCAGACAGGGTTGCCCACTGTCCCCATTGTTGTTTGTTTTATCTTTGGAATCCCTGTTATCAACAATTAGGAAAAATATAGATATAAGGGGAATTAACGTAGGAAAGATAGAACATAAGGTAGCCGCTTATGCGGACGATTTATTGTTCTATGTTGGAAATCCTAGGATAACACTTCCTAACCTAATGAAAACATTGAAGGAATATGGGGAATTGTCAAATCTAAAAATTAACCCGAGCAAAACAGAGATATTAAATATAAATCTTCCAAAGAGTGAAAAAGAAAAGATACAGAGAAAATTTCCCTTTATATGGAAAGATAGAGAAATAAAATACCTGGGAGTGAAACTTACTTCTTCACAGAAAAACCTTTATAAAGCTAATTATATCCCATTGTTAAACGAGATAGGGAGGAATTGAAGAAAATTGGGGGAGGAAACTCTTCCTGGTTAGGTCGTATTAATTTGATAAAAATGGTAATTGTCCCTAAGATCCTGTATAAATTCCAGATGATTCCCATTAAACTTCCAGAGGTGTATTTTAGGACAATTAAGCGAATGGTAACAAGATATATATGGAAAAATAAAAAACCTAGAGTATCATACGAAGTGCTAAGTAGAAACAAAGAAAAGGGTGGGTTGGGAGTGCCGGATTTTAGAAGATATTACAGGGCAGTTATCCTAGCAAGAATCTTTGATTGGATGCAAAACTCAAAGAGTAAAAATTAGAAAAGATTGGAATTTATTTGAGAAGTATTTGGAAGTTCGAGGTGATGAGAAGCACAACACTGCTAAAGTATATAAAATTCTCACTGATTTAGATAGTAAGTCAAAATTAAGGTACATAGAAAAATGGGAAAGGGATTTAGGGGTGGAGTGGGAGGAGCACACACAAAGAAAAATATATAGAATGGTACATGAGAATGTCAGTATGCGTGAGGTGGAAATGAACTTGAAATGCATGATAAGGTGGTATATTACACCGACGGTAGAGCACAAGATGAGTGGGGAGAAACAACCTTGGTGTTGGCGAGGGTGTGGAGGGTTGGGCACAATGTACCACATATGGTGGGAATGTTCAAAAATACAAGTATATTGGAGAAAAGTTATAAATCAAATTAGGACTATTACCAGAATTGAGATTGGACTGAACCCTGAAACTTGTCTTTTTCATAATACAAAAATATCAGTGAATAAATATAAAGAACTGGGTATACGGTGCTATTTAAATGCAGCAAAAAGTTTGATACCTAGGTTTTGGCGCAAAGTTGAGGCACCGAGGGAAGAGGATTGGATGAATAGAGTGGACCAGATTGCTAGATTGGAGAAACTATATTACATACAGGAACATAGGATGGTGGCATATTATATGAAATGGGAGGAGTTTAAGGTAAAAGTGAAAGAAGTTATTTTGTAATCAAGTATAAAAAAAGAAAAAATATAGTAATTTGTCTTTCTTCCTTTTAAATCTTTGTATCCAGAGGATGTGAGATATAAGTCGATTAGACAGATGTCTGGGGTTTATAGAAGAGGGGTGGGGCGGAGGGTGGGTTGAAGGAAGGGGGTTAGGGGGAGAAAAATGATATGAAATAAGTGGTTTTATGAGAATTTTGTTATGTTGTATTTCCATTTTGGAATAAATATTTAAATAAATAAAAAAAAATTACATCTTATTTCCAGTGATGTTATCGCTGGGTCTCTGTATTTCTCTATCAAGTGCAGGCAAGTCATGGCTGCTGGGAAGGGATAGCAGGGTGCTGTACATAGCTTTCTGAAATCATCACAGTGGAGATTAGCGCTGTGTCATAACAGAACCCTTCATGGGACTGAGATTGAGCTCTGCAGTCAATTTTGCAGCAGTTGTTTTCTTATTTCGGGTCACAATCCTGTGCAATGTCCTTTTGTCTGTTTTGGTCAGTTGACCATGTCAATCACACTTAAGCTTATCAGATGACTTTTTTTCTGGAAACTGTATATGCCATCATAAATAAATTGGGAAATTCAGTCATGGAGGCACCAGCTAAGCCTTATTTGAAGCTCAGTAAGCTCTGACATGACTGTATTACTAGCAGGGCAAGCAGTGAATGATGAAAGTAAGGATTCCCACCTGTTAGCTAGTTGTCTCATCACACAGAGGAAGCAAAGAAGTGTTACATCACTTCTGCTTTCAACAGGAAACATGTTGTCACTTTCACACCTGCAAATCATGTAGTGTTTCCATTTTTTTGTCTACCCCCTATCAATATTCATGTTGCTCAATATTTATGAAAAGAATGTTTTCACTGATTTGTTAAGAGGACTGCATCTGTGAGATTACTTCCTTAACCACTTCGCGCCGGCGCCTCCTAGCCCTTTAAGAGTTTCAGAAGCCAGGAGGTGGGCAGGGTTTTAGGGTCATATGACCTGCCGATTCGCCGTCACGGCAGTTGCATGATCAGAAAAAGTCCAGATCGCAAGGGGAGATCGGGACCTTTCCGAGAGTCACGGACATATATACTGGGAGCGCGCAGGGTCTCAGCACATATGTATTTTCTAATGGCACACAAATATGCGGTTGCTCGGTGTCAAGGCCCAGACGCCGAGAGGCCGCATATTTGCGTGCGCTCGGCATCAAGGGGTTAATAAATTAAATTGCAGTGTCAAGAAGTTGACATAAACATATTTTTGTATAGAATGAGTTCACAAATCAGTGTTGTAGTAAAGCTACAAGTTAGTCCCATGTTAAACTGAAACTCTTGTTTATTTAATAGGTGGACCCAACACAGATTTCATCATCTAGTTGCCAACATCCCAAAAATTAGAGCACCAAAGATATGTTTCCCTTTAGAATATAATGGGACATTTAAAGCAACACCTACAAATTTATGTAAACACATGAATTATTGTATTACAAAGACTTAAAAC